ACATCTGTTGTTCTATCCATCCATCTGTCGTTCCATCCATTCATCCATCATTCTATCATCCATCCATCCATCCATCTGTCGTTCCATCCATCCATCTATCATTCTATCATCCATCCATCCATCCATCCATCTATCATTCTATCATCCATCCATCCATTGTTCTGTCTTTGCATACATCTATCGTTCTATCTATCCATCCATCCATCCATCCATCCATCCATCTATCATTCTATCATCCATCCATCCATCCATTCTCCTCATCTATCTATTAATCTATCATTATATCTATCCATCCATCATCTATCCATTCATCTATTGCTCTATCATCCAATCATCCATCTGTCATCTATCTATTAATCTATCGCCATCCATCCATTGTCCTGTCTATGCATACATCTATCATTCCATCCATCCATCCATCCATCATCTATTCATCCATCTATCATTCTATCATCCATCCATCCATACATCCATGTCATCTATCTATTAATCTATCATTATATCTATCCATCCATCATCTATCCATTCATCTATTGCTCTATCATCCAATCATCCATCTGTCATCTATCTATTAATCTATCGTTCTATTTATCATCATCCATCCATCCATCCATCCATCCATCCATCCATCCATCTATCGTTCCATCCATCCATCCATCCATCCATCTATCATTCTATCATCCATCCATCTGTCATTCTATCATTCATCCATTGCTCTGTCTATGCATACGTCTATCGTTCTATCAATCCATCCATCCATCTGTCGTTCCATCCATCCATCCATCCATCCATCCATCTATCATTCTATCATCCATCCATCCATCCATCCATCCATTGTCCTGTCTATGCATACATCTATCATCCATCCATCCATCATCTATCCATCCATCTATCATTCTATCATCCATCCATCCATACATCCATTTATCATCTATTAATCTATCATTCTATCATCCATCCATCCATACATCCATTTATCATCTATTAATCTATCATTCTATCATCCATCCATCCATACATCCATTTATCATCTATTAATCTATCATTCTATCATCCATCCATCCATACATCCATTTATCATCTATTAATCTATCATTCTATCATCCATCCATCCATACATCCATTTATCATCTATTAATCTATCATTCTATCATCCATCCATCCATCCATCCATCCATTGTCCTGTCTATGCATACATCTATCATCCATCCATCCATCATCTATCCATCCATCTATCATTCTATCATCCATCCATCCATACATCCATTTATCATCTATTAATCTATCATTCTATCATCCATCCATCCATCCATCCATCCATCTGTCATCTATCTATTAATCTATCGTTCTATTTATCATCATCCATCCATCCATCATTCTATCATTCATTCATCCATCCATTTGTCATCTATCTATTAATCTATCATTCTATCTATCTATCCATCCATTCCTCATCTATCCATCCATTTATCATTCTATTATCCATCCGTCCATCCATCCATTTGTCATCCATCTATTGTTCCATCCATCCATCTGTAATGCCTATAAACCTTTAGGCTTTCAAAACCTTTTCTTTTCTTTGCATGTAAATCTGGATTCATTTAATGAATTTAAATTCAGTCCTGAATCTCAGTGTGTTTTTCTCCCAGTGTATCTCATCCATCCTCAAATGTTCTTCTGCCGCCTCAAACCCGCGCGTACACTATGAACATTGTTGGCTCTGTGACGAACTCTTAATATTTTTCTATTGTTAGTCGCTTCGGATAAGAGCGTCTGCTAAACAAATACATTTATCTTTCAGGACGATGTTGTGTTTAGTTCCTCCATGGGTTACAGTTGATCTGACACATGATTCCCCCAGCGACGCTTAAGCAAACTGATCTGTGAGCTTTAAAACCAATGGTTAAAATACTCCAGGAATACCCTTGACTCTTCACTAAGCCGGGTTACAATGCTGACCTATAATTCTCAGTCCCGGGTCAGAGACAGCTGGGTCAACATCCCGCCGAGTGTCCGAGGGATGCTGTCACGCCTCAGAATGTGTCGGCCGTCCTGACAGGGATTCAAGCAAGAAGACACTGTGACACACTGCAGTACATGCTGATCTCAAACACCTTATTGCGTTTATAAAAATACATCTCCATAGATTCCTGCGGATATTGAACAAAGTTCTGCAAAATGCTCGTTGAATATTTTTATATCATATTTGGTTGTGCCTTCATCAGTCAGTAAGTCCTGCGTTTAATACTTCGTCATAGCTAAATCCTTTCTGCAGAAAGGTGTGTCTGTGTGCTCATTCCATTCATGATCCTGTCTTAGAAATATGTAGTAGAGCTGCATGAATTGGGGAAAAAATGTAATTGTGATTTTACTGAGAAAAAAAAAAGTGCAATAAAAAAAATAAAAAATCCAGGTTTGCAGTGCTTGTTTGTAGGGCTGCGTAATTTGCCCAACATTTTGTGATTAATATATCAATATGGCTATAATAAAAATAATAATAATTTTTATTATCATTATTATTATTATTATTATTACTAAATAAACATATAAAAATTATGAAATAAAAACAAAATAAGAAATATTATTGCAGTGCTTGTTTGTAGGGTGGCCAACATCTTGTGATTAATATAGCAATTAAGTTTCCAAAGGGGCGGAAGATTTCTGGTAAATTTCCGGAAACTTTCCAAAAATTCCCCCAAATTTCCAACATTTTCAGAAAGTTTCCAAAGAATCCTGAAAAGTTTCTGGAAATTGTCTGCCCCTTTGCAACCCTAATAGCAATATGGCTGTAAATAATAATAATAATAATAAAAATATTATCATTATTAATATTACTATATACAATTATGAAATCAAAATCAAAATATGAAATATTACTATTATAATATTCCACTGTAAAACTTTGAGTTATAATAATAATAATAATAATAATTATGATTATTATTATTATTATTATGAATACTAAATAAAAATATAAAAAATTATTAAATAAAACAAAATAAGAAATATTGCTATTATAATATTTCACTGTATTATCTTAATTTCTTAATTTTCAGTTGTTGAACCATCAAACTTTTATTTTGTAGGGAGCCTTTAATAGCTGCTCTTTTGTTGTGAAGTGCCTTTCATTAAAAGTGTGGGAAGATGTTTGGTGATCCTAAAATGATCACGATTTCAGTTTAATTTCCATTAATCGTCCTAACATGTAGGCAGCTCATTATGTTTTGTAAAATGATTTGTTTTGGTTTAAAGCCCCTGTAGCTTATGAGCTGCAGCTAATAATGTTTGATTTAGAGTCATGTAAAGATGATGCAGTTATCATAACTGTAGCAGATCCTGCAGAGCTGCTGAAAAAGTTCAGACTGCGCTGGTTTAACGTCTCTGATCGAAGACACATTAAAGCATCACACATGTCTTCGAGAAGGCACATGTTCTGCATGTGAGTGTTTGCTGTCGTCTCTTCCTCTCTTTGAAGCCGCTGACCGTTATCCTTGACATCGAGTGCACAACACCCGGCGGGACTGGAGGGCAAATTAAGTCCTTTAATGATAAGTTCTTTTCCAAGGTTTCACGGGGAATTTCCACTGGATTATATTGTTCCAGATTCCTTTGAACTTGACATTGAACTTAAGCAGACTTTTGGTTTACAGACCCGTGAAGTTTGCCCCTTTGGATGCTTGTGGAAAAAGGAACAAAGCATTGATTCATTTGAAACTGTAGTTAAAGGAACACTTTTAGTCCGTTTTTTGAGTGATGGTGCAAACAAATCTTTGAATCAGTGTTTTGAATCGACTCACTGGAACTAACAGTTTAATTGAACATTTTTTATCTGACACCAAGCTTTTGAGTGATTGTGCAAATGAATCTTTGAATCAGTGTTTTGAATCGATTCACTGAAACGAACAGTTTAAAGGAACATTTTTAGTCAGTCATGTTTTTATCTGAGTGATGGTGCAAATTAATCTTTGAATCAGTGTTTTGAATCGATTCACTGAAACAGTTTAATGGAACATTTTTTATCTGGCACCAAGTATTTGAGTGATTATGCAAATTAATCTTTGAATCAGTGTTTTGAATAGATTCATTGAAACAAACAGTTTAAAGGAACATTTTTAGTCAGTCATGTTTTTTTCCTGAGTTATGGTGCAAGTGAATCTTTTAATCAGTGTTTTGAATCGATTAACTGAAACAGTTTAATGGAACATTTTTTATCTGGCACCAAGTTTTTGAGTGATTATGGAAATGAATCTTTGAATCAGTGTTTTGAATCGATTAATTGAAACAAACAGTTTAAAGGAACATTTTTAGTCAGTCATGTTTTTTTTCTGAGTGATTGTGCAAATGAATCTTTGAATCAGTGTTTTGAATCGATTCAATTAAACAAACAGTTTAATGGAACATTTTTTATCTGGCACCAATTTTTTGAGTGATTGTGCAAAATAGTTTTTGAATCAGTGTTTTGAATCGATTCAATTAAACAAACAGTTTAATGGAACATTTTTTATCTGGCACCAATTTTTTGAGTGATTGTGCAAATTAATCTTTGAATCAGTGTTTTGAATCGATTCATTGAAACTAACAGTTTAAAGGAACATTTTTATATGACACCAAGTTTTTGAGTGATTATGCAAATGAATCTTTGAATCAGTGTTTTGAATCGATTCAATGAAACAGTTTAATGGAACATTTTTTTATTTGGCACCAAGTTTTTGAGTGATTGTGCAAATTAATATTTGAATCAGTGTTTTGAATCAATTCACTGAAACAAACAGTTTAATGGAACATTTTTTATCTGGCACCAAGTTTTTGAGTGATTGTGCAAATTAATCTTTGAATCGGTGTTTTGAATCGATTCAATGAAATGAACAGTTTGAACTGATTTACTAAAATCAAACATTTTTTCTACTTTTATTTCTCTGTTTATTTACTTCTGTTTTGAGTGAATGTTTCGTATCTGATGTGATGTCCAGTGTTTTATGATGTCTGTTCTCTCTTTTCAGAGCAACGGATCATTGGTTTGGTGTCAGAATCACAAGCAGTGCTCAAAGGTAAAACTATGAATCTCATTAAAACTGCAAAAAAAAAAAACCCGCCCGGGTCATATTTCAGTCTAAATCACCAGAAGAAAGGGATAATGAAAGAAAGAGAGAACAGAATGGGAGTAATACGAGAGATACGAGATACAAGAGACACAAAACCTTTCTTATTATATCAATCTAATAAGAAATTATTCAGATTTTAGGATTTTTGTAAGACCTTTACTCCAAATTATTATTACTGTAATGCAATAAAATCTCATCCTCATTACTGCAATGCAAGACAAAATTGTGATATTTTATTAAAATATTTGTAAAGTTTACATGTTTTAAAAAGTAAGGTTAAAGTATTAATACATTTCATAACTGCAATGCAAACATGTGATATTTTATTTAGATCTTAGTAAAGTTTGCAAAAACTATAAATATAAAGTATAAATACTTTTTTAAACTTGTAAACTTTACAAATATTTATTAAATATTAAATATTTATTGCATTGCAGTAGAGACTTTATTTAAATATTCAATAAGATATTAAAATATTTGTAAAGTTTACAAGTTAAACAAAAATAGATTAAAGTATTTAGATAACTGCAATGAAAGAAAAATGGGTTTATACATCGCATTACTGCAATGCAAGAAAAAAGTTTTTTATGCATCATGGTATATTTGTTTTGCTGCCTTCATTTAAGCTGATTTGTGTGTAAGTTATGTTCACTGTAATGCACTAAAAACACTGTATTGAAGAAACAAGAAGCATTTTGATTTTGATGTGAAATAAGACCTGGACGTGTTTTGTTAAATTCAGTGCCTCCCTCAACATGTTTTTAATATTTGATGTATGCAGTAGCATGTGTAAATGTGATGCATACTCTCCAGTTTACTATGGTAACAGTAATATTGAGTCTCTGTCGGGGTCTGACGGTACAGACATGTCCTGTGTTGAATCATTACATACTCACAGGATGAGCTGAGGCATGACACTCGTTCACACAACACTGCTTATACTGAGACACCGACAGACAGATTCATTTTAAAGGTATGAAATGATGAAGGCAGAGCAGGCGATGAGCAACAGTCTAGAGGAGAGAAAGAAAGGGCTCTGTTTTTCACTTTAAAACCGCAATTTATACTTTGATTGCTTGGTATGGGTTTGATAATATCTGTGTGTTGCATTGATAGTTTAGCAACAGCAAACTCTTATCGAAGTTCATTTTGAGTCTCTTGTGCATTTTACATGTTTGCAGAATTTTTAAATAAGGTATGACACAGGTATTTTATTAATATTAATATTTGTAAAGTTTACACGTTTTAAAAAGTGAAGTACTTAGACATCTCATTATTTCCATGCAAGAAAAATAGTGGTATTTTATTTAAATATTTGTAAAGTTTACAAGTTTTAAAAAGTAAAGTATTTATATATATATATCGTTACTGCAATGCAAGAAAAAATAACATTTTTTAATTTAAATATTTGTAAAGTTTACAAGTTTTAAAAATTAAAGTATTTATATATATCGTTACTGCAATGCAAGAAAAAATAGTATTTTTTTTTTTAAATATTTGTAAAGTTTAGAAGTTTAAAAAAATTAAATATTTATACATCTCATTACTTCAATGCAAGAAAAATAGTGGTATTTTATTTAAAAATGTGTAATGTTTACAAGTTTTAAAAAGTAAGGTAGCGTATTTATACATCTCATTACTGCAATGCAAGAATTTTTTTTAGATTTTTTAATGTAAATATTTGTAAAGTTTACAAGTTTTAAAAGTAAGGTAGCGTATTTATACATCTCATTACTGCAGTGCAAGAAGAAAATTGTGATTTTTTAATGTAAATATTTGTAAAGTTTACAAGTTTAAAAAAGAAAGGCTGAAGTATTCATACATTTTATTACTGCAATGCAAGAAAAAATGTCATAATTTATGTAAATATTTGTAAAGTTTACAAGTTTAAAAAGTATCTCATTACTGCAATGCAAGAACAAATAGTGATAATTGATTTACTTTAATTGCTCGATACGAATCAGAGTTTGATAATATATGTGTTGCATTGATAGTTTAGCAACAGTGAAGTCCATTGAATTTAATTTTGAGTCTCTCGTGCATTTTACATTTTTTGCTGAATTTTTAACACAGTAATTTTATTAATAGTCAATTGCTAATTTCTCACCAGTTGCCATGTATTTGAAGTTTTCTATGGCATTGTAGTGAAAACATGTCACGCTGGTGTTTAGATTAATGCGAGTGAAGTTCAGCCAAGAAGAACAACATTAACAAGGCAAAACAAAAATTAATGTTGCTTCATAAGATTTTTTCCCAGAGTTAATGAGGATGTCAGAGGGCTTCAAAGAGGAGATACACTGTGCTTTAAAAGCAAAGCCGCTTTGTTTCTGTGCTCGAATGCAACAAAAGACCTGCTCTTTTCCTTTCCATGGACTTGGCCAGTATTGGATCCTGGCAACGGCGCTGTCCCCAGTCATTCATCAAGAGCTGCTGTGTTAAAGAAGTATTTGGCTGTTTGCGTGTCTGAGCATTGGGCGTTCCCATTACAACTGGCCCTCTTCATCTCTGAGAGTCTGAAAACTCTTGACACCCGTGAGGAGATCATGCCATGCTTGGACTCTGTGTGTTTCTGTTGCTAGTGATCTGTCAGGTCTGCTTCAGAATCATGCTTGTTGTAATGGTAATTAGTAATGCATATGTTGTCGTACTCTGGGTGGGACAAGGGCCATGGAGTGAGTTCAGTCTTTGCTAATTTTATGTGTACACATGCGTCAGATGGACGCCTTTGACTGTTGCATTAAGTTTCTCTGTTTCGTGTCTTAAGATGTATAGTTGACTTTTTAAAACGTGTTCTGTGCCATTATAATCCATCATCTAGCTGTTTTTGAATGCAAGAAACGAGGTTGATCGCCCTTTGGAATTGAATTGAGAATGTCTTAAATTCCAGTTCAGTTCCTGATTTTGAATTGATTTACAAACAGATGCAGAACAGCAGTTACAATTTTAGGACTGTAAGAAAATAAATTAAATGAATTGAAATAAAAAAAATATGGATGGATAGAAGGATGGATGGATGGATGGATGGATGGTTGGATGGATGGTTGGATAGATGGATAGATGGATGGATGGTTGGATGGATAGATGGATGGATGGATAGATGGATGGTTGGATATATAGATGGATGGATGGATGAATGGATGTTGGATAGATGGATGGATGGATGGTTGGTTGGATAGATGGATGGATGGATGGATGGATGGATGGATGGATGGATGGATGGATGATGGATGGAAATGGAGGCGAAATACAATCTTGAATTTTCACAGGACTTGGTAGTGCAGTCTTGTTATGGACTTGGCTGTCCGTAGGTGACAAAATAATTATTTAACTAAAATCACAACTTTATATAATGCCTTTTTTTTTCAAGGCCCTTGCAAGCAATGTAACACAGTGCTCGGATGGATGGATAATGGATGGTTGGATAGATGGATGGATGGATGGATGGATGATGGATGGATGGATAGATGGATGGATGGATGGATAGATGGATGGTTGGATATATAGATGGATGGATGGATGAATGGATGGTTGGATAGATGGATAGATGGATGGATGGATGGTTGGTTGGATAGATGGATAGATAGATAGATGGATGGTTGGATGGATAGATGGATGGTTGGATATATAGATGAATGAATGGATGGCTGGTTGGATAGATGGTTAGATGGATGGAGGTTGGTTGGTTGGATAGATGGTTAGATGGATGGATGGTTGAATGGATGGTTGGATGGATAGATAGATGGATGGATGGATGGATAGATGGATGGTTGGGTATATAGATGGATGAATGGATGGTTGGATAGATGGATAGATGGATGGATGGTTGGATAGATGGATGGATGGTTGGATGGATGGTTGGATAGATGGATGGTTGAATGGATGGTTGGATAGATGGATGGATGGTTGGTTGGATAGATGGATAGATGGATAGATGGATGGATGGATGGATGGATAGATGGTTGGATGGATGGATGGATGGTTGGATGGATGGATAGTTGAATGGATGGATGGATGGATAGATAGATGTACAAACGGATGGATTGATGGATAGTTTCGATGGATGGATGGTTGGAGAGATAGATAGATAGATAGATAGATAGATAGAAGGGTTAAACCTTTGATTGTTGATGTCGTTTCGGACTTCTTGTGATATCCCGACTGCTAATGTAAAGCTCAATGTGAACTTTGAGTAAATGTTTCATTGCCAGCATTGATTCTCCATCATTATACACCCCTAAACTAAAGAAATGTAGGTCGTTTTTGTTTAGTAATAGACTTGGAGATGTTTGGCCATTCTGAGATTTTCTGCATCGGCCACTTTAACATATTTTCGCAATGTTGTGAAAGTGACTAATTCTTGAATTTTTAAACCAGCATTCACCCAGTATGTGGCAAGGCCTTTTCTCTCAGAGATGTTAATGACGTGGATTGTTAATACTGGTTTGTGGAGTCTGTGTACTCACACACCTCTTAATGAAGTGATATGTTTGTAAAGTCCTCACAATACAAAGCCAGACCCACGCTGGGCCGCTTATATGGGGTATCCTGCTATATTGTCCCGTACAGTGTGTGTGTTTTATGCTTGTGAAAAGCTCTGTTTAGCCTGAGCCACCGTAGATGCCAAACAAAAGCAAATACAGTGAAGTCTCCGACAGCGACCCGTCGCGGTTTCTGTCCTCTAGAAAGGCTCATCATGGTGTCGCTCTTCCAACAAAAGTGAAGCAAAGGTGGGTTAATTATTTAAACAAAGATAAAGTGACCTCTCGGATCCGTCAGCGCTTTGGAGAAGGACAGTGTTGGCGTCTCCTGCGAAATGTCCAGCGCCCCGTTGTTATGATAATTAACCCCGCTGCCCTGCTGCCGGAGCGAAGGGAGAGGGCATTTGTGAGTATTAGAGCTTCATTAGCATGCCACAGCACCACCATCACCCTCCATTCACAGCCGCC